TTCTGCTTGTCGGCCAGCAGCTCGCCGTACTGCGGCGGCAGCGCGCCCAGGCCCACGTTCTCCATGACCTTGCCGAGCGCCAGCGCCTTGTCGTCGGCCATCTTGGCGGCGCCCGCGCCCGCGCCCACGCCGCCGCCGTTCTCGCGGCTGCGGCTCAGCTCCGAGTCCATGCTGAAGCTCGAGTCCGGCCGGCTCTCGTTCTCCAGCAGCAGCTCCTCCTCCTCCTCCTCTTCCTCCTCCTCCTCCTCCTCGGGCTCGTGGCCCAGCGACGGGTCGCTCTCGTGGCGGAAGTCGCCGTCGGCCGCCTTGAGGCCCTCGGCGGCCAGCTCGCTGGTGCCGGGCTCCGGGGAGCTGGCGGCCGAGAGCCCGTCGTCGGAGCGGCCGGCCAGCGAGCCGGCCTTGTGCATGTGGGTCTTCATGTGGCGCTTGAGCTTGCTGGCCTGCGAGCAGGCGTGGTCGCACAGCTGGCACTTGTAGGGCTTCTCGCCCGTGTGGCTGCGCCGGTGCACGATGAGATTGCTCTGGAACTTGAAGGTCTTGCCGCAGAACTCGCACGACTTGCTCTTGGCGGGCTGCTGCGGCGGCGGCGTGCCGCCAGGGGGCATGGGCGGCAGCGGCGGCGTGCTCAGGAACGGGGACTTGGGGCTGGGCTGGAAGGGGTTCAGGAGCCGGTGCATAGGGTTGCCGCGGCCCGGCGACACGGGCGGCGGGGTGGCGCTGTTGCCCGCCAGCTCGCGCAGCCTCCGCGAGAAGTCCATGGCGGGCGAGTCGATGGCCATGGGGTTGAGGCGCATGACTCGGTCAAAGGCACTGGGGTGCTGGGCGACGAGCCCCATCTCCTCGGCACTGAGGCGGTGTGGGTCCAGGTGGTGGCGCGGCGGCGGGCTGAAGAGGGGCGGCGTGCCGGGCAGGCGGCCCTCGCCGAAGCCCGGGTGCTCGCGCAGCAGGGGGCCCGTCATGCGCAGCAGGTTGAAGGGGTTGCTGTCGCCCAGGAAATTCATGAGTGGCGACTGGGCCACGGCCTCGGGCCCGAGCGGCGGCGGGATGGTGAGGCGCGGCGTGAGCGAGCTGCTGGCCGGGCCCGGCTCCAGGTAGATGCGGAAGCCATGCGTGTTCTGGGCGTGTTGCAGCAGGAACCAAGCGCTGGTGAAGGGCTGCTTGCATGTTGTGCAGATGTAGCTGGAAGGCTCGTCTTTACCTGGGGAGACACACGGACAGAGAGGCACAGACAGGTGAGAACGGGGCTGGGGGGCCACTGCCGGGAGGCCCTCTGGCCGTCCTCCCTCTGGCTGGGGGACTGACGGCCTGTGGGTTCCAAGCCCAGACCGGCCACAGGGCCTCGGCAAGTGATTTCAAGTCTGTAGGCCTGGTTTCCTCCCCTAAGGAAAAGATCTTCTTGCTCCCATCATCTCGAGGCTAAGTGAGGTGGTTGCTGAGAAGGACCCACTACACATACTGAGCCCTGTAAACGTTGGGACCTTTCCCCAGAAGGGCGTCAGGGTGGCTCTCAGCCTCCAAGGCTCTCCTCGCAGGCAGCCAGGCAGCCAGGCAGCCAGGGTTTCTCAAGCACAATTAACTCTGGAGTCTGATTCTTTGCTGGGGGTGGGGTGGGGTGGGCTGTCTTAAGTACTTAAGATAGGCTTTAGCTACTAGGTGCCATTAGCAAAGCTCCCACACAATCCTGACCATCAGAAATGTCTCCAAACCCAAAGTACCCTCGACGGACAAGTCCATTTGGACTCATGGCAGCCCTTCCATGTCTCAGAGAACTGTGCCGCACGGGGTTATCGCCGGCTCTGTTCCTAGGAACATCACCAGGCCTTTCTTCCACTGCATCACTGGGTGGATTCAAACCACCCACGTTTTGGTTGATAGTTGAACGCAAGGTGTTTTTACTACCCAGGGACTGAGATCTGACAAAGGTCCCTAAACCAAAAATCCACTGCGGTCAAGTTGATTCCAACTCACAGCGACCCTAGAGGACCAAAGAGAATTTCCCTTGAGGAGCAAAACCACCTTTGGTGAGAAGCACTGATTTCAACCCTACTTGATTCAAGAGGGTTCTACAAAACCACAGAGAACGGAATTGCCTTGCAAACTTTTTATTTTATTATTTAATGAGAAGTGGCTGTGATAAAGTGGGATTTCAGCTATCAGATAATCTAGTGTTTTGGAGAACAAGAGCCCATGAAAGAAACACTGTAAAACTTCCACACACTGAGTAAGAAAAGAACGCTGACGTGTATTGAAGACCACTGGGTGACAGCTGCTCTGCGTGTCCTCACCCACCAGGCAGAATTTCACTTCCATCGACCCCAGGGATGCTAAAGGAACACTCGTGTGAAGGGGTGGGGTATTCTGAAGGCTTTGCCAACACCCTCACTCACTGTAAAAGTCTCCCAAAATGTGACAGGGTGCTGTCTTCTTGGAAACTGGCTCTGGTGACGTCTCCAGCAGATCACATTAGACACTGAGCCAGGATGTCACGGCCTGTGTCCATCGTTGGGGCAGTTACGTACTGGAAGCTGGACATCTATCCAGAACCTGTCTGCTGGCCGCCCTCCTCCCCCCGCAGGTGAAGCCTCCTGCTCGTCCCAGTGTGAACCAGTCACGACGCTTCCCCGACAAAGATGGGGTGGACAGGCCCTGCCTTCTCACATCACAGGCGCTAGTCAGGAAAGGAGACAAGAAAGGAAGCCACGCTCCTGGAAACTCTTTTGTTTTTACAAACTTCACTGTCCCTGGAAGATGTTAACCTTGATAAAGTACAGTAGCCGCAAACTCCGTGGTGAAGTTAACTAAGCAAAAAATAAAATAAAATCTCCATACTCAGTATCAATAAGGTGAAGTGGGGGGCAGAGGGCTGAGGAGCAGGAAAACTCCCCCATCCAGTGTCTCTGCCAACAGGACTTCTGGGTTCCCGGGCCCAGAGTGCTTGTGTTTCCCACTCAGGAATACAATTATGAGTGGAATTATGGAGGCCGAACACGTAGGTGTCCACAGGCACAGAAACCGTCATGTGGAACCATCTTTAAAATCTAATCAACTTGGACCTAATGCCCTCAAGTCCATCCAAGGGCTTAAGTCTTGACTGTGGGCCCCTGTCCCTGTCAGAAAACTCAGACAACTTCTGAGGGGTCGACACCTCCTGGAACAGCATCACGGAAGGCTTTGTGCTGGCCAAGGGGCCGGGTGGAGCTGCCCCTCAGTCCCAGAACCAACCAGGCCAGACCAGCTGACACTGAGCACCAAGACATGCGAATGAGTTTAGCAGTATTCGGAGACCGTTTCACATTCATCTCCTGTTTTGTGCACAAGCGTCTGGTGTCAGGGAGCCAGAAATGAAAAGCGAGTTTTGAAGTTAGGCCTCACTTCACTTTTTAGCATCTCGAGAACTTCTGAGGCTGCTGTCTGTCTCCAGGGTGCCGGGTAATTTCAGTCTCCCACTCTGGCTGGGTAATTCAGTTCCCCACACTTGAGGCCCTGAGGAGAAGCCACCCCACCTGGAAAACGGCATGGAGGCCTTCCCGAGGCCCTGGGCAGCCATGATGGTCACGGACTGTGGGACCCGTAAGCTGCACCGTCACCCTGTCCTTCCCTCCCACGTGTCACTCAGGGAACATGAACAGCGCCTGGCTTTGCTGGAGGCAGACTGAGGGTGTCCCATCTCCTGTCCTTGGCTAATGTATTTGGGGAACTGAACATTTTTCCTCAGCCAGCCTCACACGAGAGCTGGCCAGAAGCTATTTTGGACTCTTTCTCAGCTCCTTTTTTTGGAGCAAGGCAGAACAAATAGGCAATGAGAAGAAGAGAAATAAAAAGTCCCTTTCTGACAAGAGGCTAATAACACAATGAAGTGCCACGTCATACAAGGTCACAGATCTTCAAATTAAAGAGCGTTTCGGCCCCGTCACCTTGCTTCAGCCACTCTAGTTGATGGATGTGTGGCACGCGGCTGCCCTGAGTCGTCATGTTTTCAGTTGGGCCCCCTCCCCACCCCCAGTCCCTTTCGAATCAGCTTCGTTTTCTTGGGTGTCTCCAAAGCACTTCCTGTTTCTTGTGCCGACTGCCACACAGTTTCTAGAAAGTTCTGTCGCTGCTGAGGAATGTGGCTGTGAGAAGAAAGAGCAGACTGGGCGTGAAGACTGCTCCACAGATGAAATGGCCGATTGAAAAAAATAAGCTCAAAATGGCAGCTGCCGGGAGCGTGTGGCTACATGTTCTGAAGAGCTCAGATGTTTCCACTTCTTGTGTTAGAAAAAAACTGGTCCCTCTAAAACCCTGAGCCGTGCGGGGAGGAGGTCTCCTGTCCACAGTTTCCCGCAAGTGGGTCCCAGGGCCGTGGGGGCCGACCAGGGTGAGCTTGCTTTTCTGTGGCCTGAACGGCTTTGGTTCCGAGGCCTGGCTCAGCGGAATGGCAGGAGTCACCGCAGGCCACCGCCTTCCCAGGATCTGACACCTTCGGATTTTCAAAACGTCTCGGGCCCTCACAGGCCTTCCCCAGACAACTCCCTTTCCAGCAGCCCTCCCTTTTCTTTTTTTTAATAAAATGTTCATTTCCATATTATCACTTCATGGTTCTCTCTTGCCTGGAAGCCGCCCTGAGCACTAGAGCACCTCACTTTTAAGAACTGAACAATGTCAGGAAGTCTTTGAAGAGCCACTCGGCACATTTTTCTATTCTAAAACTCGCTAAATATTTTAAACATACGACAGGGCGTCACAGAGGACTCGATTCTAAAGGCAGCGGAAGGCCCTCAGTGAGAGGGCCACGTCTGACTCCGGGCCGGCCACGCTCCTTGCCGGGACCAGATGGTGGTCCCCGACACCCCCTCCTGGAACTCGGGGCCTCTCGGAGGGGAGCTGGCACCCGGGCAGGGTCTGCCGGGTTGTTCTGAGTGACCTGCCCGACGACATCAAAGCTGGCCTACAGACCTGGAAACGTCAGTTGCATTTCGCTCGCTAAATCGCACCGAGCCACAGAGCCCGGGCCCGTGTCTTCCCTGTGCGCTAGCCTGCTGCCTCCCCGTTTTTAGTATGAGCTGGTAGAGACCTGAGCTGGCTCTGCTCTGTGGGCCCCAAAGAGAGTCCCAGGGAGTCTGTCAGACGTGAAACCTGGGCCATCACGGACAGCCCGCAAACACACCACAAGTTCAAATCCCCACCTCGACGTTCCGGTGGCACGGGGCCCATCAGGTTGCTTTGGCAGAACGGAAACCATACGCCTGCCTCACGGGACGGCTGGCAGGGTGGGAGGAAACCACGGGTGTCTGAACAAAAAACCCCAAACCAAACCCCCTGCCTCGATTCCGACTTGCGTTCCCGAACTGAACTCCTGTGGGGTTTTCTTGGCTGTAAGTTGCACGTATTGTTAAGCACTGGACGACTGACGACCGAAAGGTTGGCAGTTCAAACCCACCCAGTGGTGCCTCAGAATAAGGCCTGACAATGTGCTTCCAAAAGGTCACATCCCCGAAAAGCCTGCTGAGCACCGTTCTACTCAGTACCATTGGGTTGCCATGAGTTGCCACTGACTCCGAGGCAACTAGCAGCCACAGTTTTTGGGGAAGAGACCGCCAGGCCTTTTGTCCGCAGCACCACTGCGTAGGCTTGATTCACCGACCTTTAGGCTAGTCATCAAGAGCAAACACTGCACCCCCAGGGGCCTTCTGTACGTGCACGGTTTCACACACACGCCTTATGAAGCGTACAGCGCTCCCCACATGTTACCGTCGGGTTTTGCAGGGCAGTGGAGGCTTCAGGGATGCCTTTCAAGGTTAACACTGGGAATAAAACCCTGGAGGGATTTGAATGCAGCCTGCCTAGCGCATCGGAGGTTCTAGGGAAGTAGAAGCTTACAAACGTTAAAGAAACATGATTTTTTATGGCGACTCAGGAACCCATGTGCAACTGGACTCCAGCAATGAGATGCTCCTCTCCCTCCGCCATGTGGTGGGTTTTGTTGTTGTTGTTCTTTTTTTTTCTTTTTGCTTTAACAGGCATTTAAATAATTGTTCCTCCTTATTATGCCAGCTTCTCTAAAACCAGTACAGGCATTGGGGGCATTCAGTACAACCCTTTAACTGAACTGTTAAATTAGAAGGCCGTGTCTGGGAGCACTGGTTTAACGAGTCTCCGCCTAAGGCCAAGTGACACCAAACGGGGGCCTTCCCAGGGGCGAGGTTGGTGGGTTGCTGC